AATTGTAGTCGAAGTGTTTGCTAACGAGTACTGGTTTCCGAAACCGCGGACGAGCCACACGTCTATTTCACCTCGTACTTTGTCGGCGGAATTCGACAACTTCGGTAAAAAAAAAAACTAAACTATAAATCCGGCATATACAGTTAAGTGAATGAGAAATTCTGTGTATGATTTTAAAAATTTCTGGTTTATTTCTAAGATACAAGGTGAATGAAACGGTCACGTTACAACTCCCCCCTCACTCCGGGAAAAAAATATCAATGATATTTATATTTATATTTTTTTTAATTCATTCACTACATTATGCAAGTATTTTTCACCAAAACATTTTTCCCTACCGTTGACTGAGTTTTAGCCCGAAGGCCCGCACCACCTAGTGTTAGGTGTATTTTACTTACCGAATCTCATGCCATGGTTTAACTTTTATTCTTTATTTTATTTGGTACATAAGAATACCGACAAAATCTGTTCTACAGCTTTATTTAAAAAAAAAAAAAATAATGATAATAAAAGTTCGAAAACAAATGACTGCTCTACAGTCTTAATGCTGTTCTACAGCTTGAAACACAAAATCGACACAAAGGGGAAACTACACCGAGTTATTCAAATGGTGTCGGGTCCTGTCGGGTTGAGTGATCAGAGAGATTACGATTGAAGCACCCGCATATTGCAATTTGGCACGTCCCGATATCAGGAACGTTACCTTAATACTCGGTCGGTTGTGCTGCATTACAGTTTGATGTCGACGACCACGTGGTTTGGTGATTTTTAAAGTTTTAATCCATCGGATAAGCTCCTCCTCAGAATACCTTCTTCGGTTCCGTGCAATATGTGCCGTTTCTTGTGTTCCTGGAACTTGTACCCACGTCGTAGGGGGCGCATTTTCCATTTTGGCTATCTTTGCCTGACTGACTGCACAATCAACCGCCATTGAGGTGGTTGCAGTAATCGTTTGTTGATCGCTGCCAGTCGAAGTTGAAGGTAACGACAACCATCCCCGATTCACGGATGGAGCCGCTTGCTGACAAAAATTTGCCGGTGGATCGTCTAAAACAGGCATCCCGGCTTTCCGTTCCATCTTGTTGCCTGTTAATAAAATAACTGATTTCATACAATGTATTTCAAGGCGAAGACCGATATTTTTCTTTTCTTGAGTGGTGTACTAAGGAGCGTGTTGTTGTACACTTGTTTTTGTTAAAGTTCCTACTATTAATAAACGGTATATTGATTTTGTTGTTGATTTTGCTCGCCTTAAAAGCAATTAGAGAATACATAGCTTACACATTATCTGCATTATTTAAGAGACATAAGCTTTTCTCTCCCAGTGCTCAATCAATCTCTCTAAATTTGTCAATATCTATTTTCTTCACCCTACTCATCTATCTAACTTCCATTCCTAGTTGAGTGATCCGGCTGACGGTTCTACTGGAGAGCTAGTTGTGATGAAGAGAGTAAGTTGTTTGCGCTCTTGAGAGATTTGAATTGTTCTCATTAGTTGTCCGCGAGCGAGAGAGATAATTGGGTATTGGCGTCCGTCACATTGCTCACTTTGAGAATTGTTTGTGAGAGAGAGAGAATTGTGTGGTTATGGTTGATTTCACAACACGCTTGGTACGTTCGGTAGGGTTCTCGTGGGGAGCATAATATGCTGTTGTTCGATGATCGACGTGGTTGTCCTGAAGGAAAGACTTTTCTAGACGACTTGTGAATTGTGCCCCATTGTCAGTGAGTATCCCCTTCGGGCAACCAAACCTATAGATAACGCGCTCCTTAAGTGCTTTGACGATGTCCTGAGTCATGGCTCTTCTCGTTGCGACCAACTCCACCCATCGACTGAATTTGTCTATAATTACCAACAACGAGGCGTTTTCCTGCGTGGATCTTGGGAACGGACCAATGAAATCTACACAAACGACTTCCCAAGGTGCGGAACACTGCATAGTATGCATGAATTCACTCGGTGCCTTCTGCTCGACCTTATACCGTGCGCACTTTTCACAGCTAAGGACGTAATTCCTTACGTCCCTGGAAATCCCAGGCCAGTAGAAGTCCTCCTGAATTCTTTTTAAAGTTTTAAAAACCCCGTCCAAGCGAACCTCGGTTGGTACACATCGTTTCCACTCGGACCTAGGATCAAATGCACTCCGACGGGGTACGTGTTTATATAACTGGTCTTCTATAATTTGGAGATCCGGACATTTATACTACCTTCCTTCACCTTCTTCACCATTTTGGTGTACCAATCAGTCGAAATGGAGGAAAGGGCAAAATATTCTTCGGTGTTCGCCAAAGGAGCTCGGGATAAAGCATCGGCAACGACATTTAAACTCCCCTTTCAGTACTCAAGATCAAAGTCGTATTGCTGGAGCTCCAGTACCCATATTGCTAGACGACCAGAGGTGTTCTGTAATAAATGGAACCATTTTAGGGAATGATGGTCCGTTATTACGGTAAACCGATAACCTTCTAAATATCATCTCATCTTCCTAATGTCCCAGAGGATGGCCAGATACTCTTGCACGGCTGTGGAGAATTTCTTCCCGAGATTGGAGAGGGATCGGCTGGCATATGCTATCACGGACTATGCGTGTGATGTGACGTTGAAAAAGGACCACCCCCAAACCATCTAGGCTGGCGTCCGTCTGGAGAAAGAATGGGTGTGAAAAATCAGGACATTCCAATATGGGGGTTTCGATTAGAACTCCAAATTGTCGAAGGCTTCCTCTTGTGAGGCACGCAATTCCCATCGTGAAGCTTTCTTCAGAAGCTGGTTGAGGGGGCTTTGCGAATTTTGGTATGAACCGTCTATACCATGATGCAATACCCAATATACGTCGTAGTTCTCTCAAATTAGTTGGAGGAGGGAGTTTCCGTACCGCTTCTATCTTATCGGGATCGGTACGGATACCTTCGGGTGTCACGAGGTGACCCAGATATTCCATCGATTTCCGAATGAACTCGCAATTTTCGAATTTTATTTGCATCCCAGCGTTTTGCAATCTCTCAAAAACGATTTCAAAGACACTAAGATGTTCGGGAAAACTTCGACCAAGTACGGTGATGTCATCTAAATACACGAAGACAAAAGGGTGAAGATCCGAGCCGATTATCTCGTCAAGCGCTCTCTGGAAAGTCGCTGGAGCCGAATGCAGACCAAGGGGCATGACCTTCCACTGGAATAGTCCTCTTCCTGGTACAGTAAAGGCTGTGAATGGTCTCGAAGATTTGTCTAGTGGTATTTGCGAATATTCGTTTTTATACCCTCCACCATACTATGGAGGGTATATTAACATTGTCATTCCGTTTGTAACTCCTCGTAATACTCATGTCAGACCCAACAAAGTATATATATTCTTGATCAGCGTAAAATTCTAAGTCGATTTAGCGATGTCCGTCTGTCTGTTGTAATCACGCTATCTTTCGAATGAATTGAAATAGATGGCTAAAATTTTGCACACATGTTTATTTTTCCAGTACGCAGGTTAAGCCATGTAGGTCCACGTTTTCATATAGCCCCCATATAACGGTACCTCCCGATATTCGGTATTTTGATGATTTTAGCGACATTATTCACCGGAAATGTTTTAAATTTGTTATTTGAGATTCGTAATTGATGCTACAGCCTATGACAGAAAATTGTCTGTGAAGGTCCACGTCTTCATATAGCCCTCATATAACGGTTCCTCCCAAAATTCGGGATTTTGATAATTTAACCGCCATTATTCACCGGAAATGTTTCTAATTACGTATTTAGAGTTCGTTATGGGAACTACAGTCTGTGACAGAAAAATGTGTATGCAGGTCCAGGTCTTCGTATAGGCCCCATATATCAGTACCTCCCTATATATGGTATTTTGACGAGTTTATGTACAATACCCACCGAAATTGTTTGAAATATCGTATTTGACGTTAGTAATGGATGCTATAGCCTGTGACAGAAAAATGTCTATGATGTGACAATGGTACCTCCCTATGTACGATATTTTGCTGATTTATATCGTTAATTTGGGGCATATGATATGCATCGGATTCACAAGCTTCATTTAGCTGCCGATAGCCTGGTGGTGCACTGTACGGGCTGTGAGAAGGCTCTATATTATCTAGAAGTAGACGATTATCAATTTCTGCATTAACCACCGCCATCATTGCTGGGTTTTCGGGGTATACAGCGCTGTTTGATCGGCCCCTTGTGTTTCAGTTTGATTGTGTGTTTGGCGATCATACATAAGCCTTTTGACCGTGAAAACTTATCCGTGTGGCGTAATAGCATCGCCTTCAACTCGGCTTCCTCGGTGTCGGTGAGGAAGGCGCGTGGTGTTATTGTATGTGAATACTCGGTGAATGGCTCGCTCTTGACTCGTAGTAGAATTTCTCCGTCGAGACTCAACCGGCAGTTCCTTTCGGCGAGAAATCCATTCATAATATTATAGGTTCCGCAAGGGTTGGGATAACGTAACAGATAGTTCCGTCGCCTTTCCTCTATATACTAGAGCCACCCGGAGATCCGTCTCACAATTCGATACTCTTTGGTCGACCATTTGTATAATTCGTTTTGTAGTGCCTGGTTTTATTCCTTTGGACTACAGCTTCTTCCGCATCATTTCATCGATGTAGCTTAGCGAAGTCCCGGTATCAATTAACGCGTTTAGTCTAATCCCTCAGACACAACCCTCGATAAAATATCTCCTTGAGCCCTTATAAGGACATGAACTAGTTCGGCATCGGAAACTCGTCGATTCTCAGAGTTACAGTAACTAGTTCCACTTAAGACCCCTCACAGTGCAAACAACTGTAAACTTTAACATGGGGATGTCATACGAAGTAACCAATTGGCTCCCTTTGCATTACATGTAGATGGTACTTTACTAGTTCCAGGTTTACAGTCATATACCAGTGACAAAAGACTAACTGGTTTCCCATGAACTAGTTCAGTACCAATTATTGTTAGTGAAATTCTAATTTTTAGTTTTAATTCATTTTTTTATTGCAAACAAATGAATACAAATATACCTTACTCTATAAAACTTCAACAAAAATAAATTTAATTTAATATTTATAAAAGCACTTGTATTGCTTTTCGCAGTTGTGTTTCAGGGGTGTCCGAATATTCTGTAACTGGTATTGAATCTGCAAAAAATAATGTTTAATGTATGAAAATGTAGAATATAAAAAAAATGTTTATATACACCTTACCTAAAATAACGCTGTATATATTACTTAGGGACTTCAAACTTTTTTCCTCAATATTATACTCGTAGTTATATTTGAACCGATAACATATTTAAACATTTCGATGTTTCCTCTCCTTTTATAATTGATGCTATAATCTTTACCTAAATATTAACAAAAATTGTATATAATCTATGTTTGTTCAGCAATACATTTAAAAAATACTTACATATATGTATTGATTCTCAATATTTTTCATAAGTGATGGGGAACCTATTCCATAATAGTATCTCATCACTTTGAGATCGTAGCACCATCACCTTCAACTCAGCTAAAGCATCAGCTAAAATTTTGATTTGACCTATAGTGAAAACAAACAAATTAATAATTTGTAACAATTCTGAGAAGAATGCTATGAATTACTTTTATTATTATTTTATTACTATTATTACTTTTACTACTCATTCTTACCTTTTTATTTGTTATTTTCAACACTTTATAACTTATTTGCACAGAAAAATGATACTTCACTTCACAACGATCAGAATAAGAATGCTTTTTCCAAACAAAACGCACTTGCATTCCTCAAGAAAAACGGTGCATTGTTTTTTTATTGGTAATCTAAAAAAACTATTCAAAGTGGTTCTTGTTCGTAGAGATCTCATTCAAATGTTCGTTTGGTTTTTTCGTTGTGGTTTTTATTTATGCACAACTGTCGCTTCTTTGCATTACTTGGGGACGAAAAGGTGTCAATTGGTTACCTTTGCATTACTTGGGGACACATTTGGTACTAGTCCGGCTTATATCTAGTATAGGACTGGTGAAATTGAGTTAAATGGAATTTTCATTGCCAGCGGGTAGGTTGTCTGACAGCACAATCACAGACTCTCAATAGCACGTCCAGGGTGTTGAAATCGTGTCGCCTCACATAATGATGGTACTCGGGGCGGAGACCGTCGTAGATTCGATCTAAATGGCTCATAGATTTGAGCTGTGGGTGACATCGTGAAGTTTTCAGTATGGTCAATATATAATCCTTGGCTCTCTCCCGGTTCTGCTGCCGCCGATTGTAGAAGGAGTGCTCAATTTGGTTTAAATACCGCTTGGGTAAGAAGAATTTCCCGGCTTCGGCACGGAAGTCAGTCCACGTTTTGATATCTTTCCGCTTTACCCGGTACCATCTCAAAGCATTTCCTTCTAACGTCGTAAGAAATGATGGGAGTAGACGATCATACGGGATGTTATGACAATCGGCTAACCCCACGAACCGCTGAAGAAAATCGATCACATCGTGGTCACCCGAAAACTTGAGAGACCAACGATTGATTATTTTCATTATCATCAGACATCGTTGTGGTGGGAATGTTCCCTTGAGTAAGACCAACTTTGTCTGCAGAAATTGTTGGTACAAAATTGTTCCCAGGTACCGGGACTGCCACGGAAGTTCAGGGTAAGAACTCGGGAACCGAAGATTTTACTTCATTTTCCAATTCACGTAGAAGGTTTTCAGCCGATAGACGTGTTGGTTTCTCTCGAATATGTTTGCTAAGTTGTACCGCAGTATATCCTGTGGTCTCGAGCCCGACTTTTTGGCTTTGCTCCACCAACTGTTCTCGTTTCAACAAGTAGATCCAACTAAGTGATTCGGGACTGAAAAAATCGTTCACTTTCAAACTTCCTTCACTATTATTCGTGGACCTCTACAAATCCTCGCTGGCGTTGGGTTTTGGTTTTTCGCTGTTAGTATTTTCGTCAGGTCCCTGCTCGGGCGCCATATATAACGTGTGGTTTTATATTGGTTGCTCGGTACGTATGGAGGCGTGGGTTTTCGGTGTATGCTCGAAAGTATCTCGGTTGATGACGATTCGGGAGTTGTAAGTTAGCTGTCGTCTCGGGAGCATTCTGTTTGATGTCGACTTGGGAGTATTCGGGTTGATATCAATTCGGGAGTATTCGGGTTGATGTCGATTCGGGTTCTCCGAAGTTTTCGGGTTGCTGTCAGGAGAAACTTTAATTAGTGGGAGCGATAAAGCGTTGGAAGCGACAAAGCGCTGGGAGCTGGCTATGAGCTTGGAGCTGGCAATGAGGTTGGAGCTTGCTATGAGCGAGGAGCTTGTTATGAGCGTGAAGCTTGCTAAGAGCGTGGAGCATGCTAAGAGTGTGGAGCTTGCTATGAGCGTGTAGCTTGCTAAAAGTGTGGAGCTTGCTCTGAGCGTGAAGCTTGCTAGGATCGTGGAGCTTGCTATGAGCGTGGAGCGTCGAAGTGTTTGCTAACGAGTACTAGTTTCCGAGACCGCGGACGAGACTCACGTCTATTTCACTTCGTACTTTGTGGGCGGAATTCGACAACTTCGGTGAAAAGAACTAAACTATAAACCCGGCATATGCAGTTTAATGAATGAGCATTTCTTTGAATAAGTTTAAACATTTCTGGGTTATTTCGAAGATACAAGGCGAATGAAACGTTCACCTTACAAGTTTGCATCGGTACATCGGTAAAGGCGAGGGTCGCAGATGAATCCGACTTGTTAGATTCAGACCCAGACTTGTATATTTTTACAGCCGCAGTGAGTTCCACAAAAGCAGCTTCAGCGGCAGCCAACGACAATGTGGTGTCCGTGAGGCAACATTCCTGGAGTTCTTCTTCCGAATATAATTTCATCGACAAAGTATATAACGAGAAGAGAACCATTTTAATTACTAATCGAGGGGTGGTCGGTCAGAATGACCAATTTGGTGGTGTGCCGTCTTACAACGCAAACAAAACATCTATCCGCAAATTTCACCTAACGCCCATAGGTTTGTGACTACTAGCTCCAACCTACGATAATAATTGAGCGTCAACCAAAAGCTCAGGGGTGATCGATCCACAAATGCTCTATTATTGGTGGTCTTGTGCTGCTGAGTTTTGAGCCCGTAAAGCCCCAGGCAAAATCGGACGAAAACCATCTGAAACAACTTTGGGGTAAAGATCCTAACAACAGATCTACAGGACGAGACTCAAAAAAAAATTGACATCTGCCAAGCGAAGGTCGGGGATTTGGGTTCTTAAGTCTATATTGGCAACAAATGACGGAATATTTTCTGAAATAGTAGGCAACACTAAAACACTTGTTTCTAATACTAATATCTAATACGACAAGCTAGCAGTACTAGCAGTAGCCGAGAGCGAAGAATTAACTCCTGACACAATAGCATTAGCAGGGTATGCGTGAAGCTTCAAACGATTTTGGAGTCGCTCTGAAATAAAAGTGGGCTCTGAAGCAGGATCTATCAGTGCCCTAGCAGGATACAAAACACCTTGGTGAACGATGTTAACCACCGATCTACAGATTTATTCTGAGCCGTGTAAAACACTTGACAGGATACACATCCAGCCGATGTAGATGCTACACAATTTTCCGAATTGGATTGACAAGAGCTGGAATTTGGGGATACCTTAGAAGTCACAGTGGAAGTTTGAGTCGAATTTCCCAATGTAATATCTTCCCAATGCAACAATGTATGATGTGCTTATTGCACTTCGAACACTTACGTTTGCTATCACATTTCTTTACTTCATGACCGCTACGAAGACAGTTAATACAAAGATGATGGCGTTTCATTACTTTATACCGATCAGCGGGTTTTAAGCTCTTAAAGCGGGACAGTCATACAATTTGTTACACCGCAACAAATTGTTAAATAAAGTTTAAATATAATCGCAAAGTCACTATATGTATTACATTTTAACTTTACATTACTACGCTTTGCGACACTTTACAACACTATCATCTAATGTCAACTTTAGTTCTTGACATCTACCATTTTCTCTTTAATCGCCTTACTTTGTCATTTTCTCCTTCCTTTTTCTCTAAAACCTGCGAAAGCAAAATCACGCTTTTTCTAAGATCGCCGGTAATATTGTATCCCGTATTGAATTAAAGATTTATATTGCTAAGCAATCGGATAAAATAATCTAAAGCACAAGTGTACGTATAAAAATATAATTTCTGTAATGTAAAAACTGAATTAATGAAATAGAATTACAGATTTTAGCTGTATTTAATAAGCTGCAAAATACGCTTTTATTTGCAACTATCCGACGCCTTAACATTCTAAAATACTTGCAAGAGAATCTTTTACGTTTACAGAAATGTTTAAAGGGACAGGCTTTAGAGGCTGTGAGAGGGAAGCTCATGATGTGCATTTTGCAGTGGAGACTCTTCGAATGTTATATGGGAGACCAGAAATAATTCACCACGCATTGCAAAAGAAACTTAAAGAGGAGCCACCAGTGCAAGCAATGGGCCTCACAGATTATTTAAACGATCCCATGCTGTTAAATGAGTTAGTAGAGAAGCTGCCTTGTGACCTAAAGTTGGATTGGGGCCGATACCGTTTTAGTATTCTTAAAGTTGACATTACTATATTTGACAGTTGGTTATTTAGTCTGGCTACTTGCGCTTCTCACGTCACACCGTTCTTGCCATCAACTTATAATGAAACAAAAAAGTCCACAAAAGAACGGATCAACGTGCATGACGTCATTGATAATAATATTGCAACTGACATGGTAACGACAATATCTTGCTCCAAGTGTTTACAGAGTCATCGTTTAGAGGAATGTCCAGAGTTTTTAACATTTACAATTAACGAGAGATGGAATTATATTCGTGAGTTTAATTTATGTATACGCTGTTTTAAGAAACATTCATTGCGTCGCTGTCATTCAAAACGACAATGTGAAGTAGACGGTTGTAAAATGCCTCACAATCCTCTCCTGCATAACATAAAGCAAGGTCATCACCAAAATAAACAACAAGAAAACAATGAAAAGGTAAATACCTCAATTTTATTCCATGCAAAGGAGAATGAATCCCTTTTTCGTTATGTGCCTGTAACACTATTTGGAAAGACGCACTCTTTGAATACATTCGCTCTAATCGACGAGGGATCATCGTGCACTTTAATTGAAAGTGAACTAGCATTAGAGTTGGGTTAGGATGGGCCCACAAGGGAGTTATGTTTACAATGGACGGGTGACATAACCCAAACCGATGAAAAATCTAAAGTAGTCTCTTTGCAAATATCATCACGTGAAAAGGCAGCAAACAAAATGTAATGCAAATCTGAATCTTCCTATACAAACGCTTACAAAGGAGGACATCAACATATACGAACATTTGCGAAACCTATCAATCCTGCCATACATCTCAGTAAAGGCAAGAATACTAATTGGCATTGATAATGCTAAACTCTGCGTTCCTTTAGAAATTAAGGAAAGTCCAAATGATGGATTAATTGCTACAAGATGCCGAATTGGTTGGGGCGTGTATGGCCGACTTTGTCCAGGTAACTCCAATATGCAACGGGTTATGCATGTCTGTCCCTGTGGAATATATGAACGAATGGAAAAAAAAAATATTTTTCTCTAGACTCAATAGGAATAAAAGTAAATATTAATCCTCTTCGTTCCAAAGAAGACGAATGCGCAAAGAAAATTATGGAATCCACAACAAAATATATCCCAGAGGAAAAGATTTGGGAGGCTGGGCTGCTATGGAAGTACGAACGTATACATCTGCCCGACTCGTTTCCTATGGCACGTCGCAGACCCCCAACTTAAATCATTTATAGTAGAGAAAATTAAAGACTACGAGCAAAAGGGCTATGTAAGGAAGCTACGGCCAAATGAAATCTCTTCCGGAGGGATATCTTGGTATATCCCGATATTTACTGTTAAAAATAAAAACAAAACCCGTATTGTTTGGGATGCTGCTGCTGCTGTTGAAAATGTTTCGTTAAATTCAGTTCTTTTAAAGGAACCTGACTTATTAAAGTCATTGGTTGGCGTTTTGCTCCGTTTTCGT